GTGCAATCCTTGGAGCAGGAGAAGATGAAGGTGGCAATGGCGTGGACAGTCTGAAGCTTGAGAAGGAAGACCAGGCTGTGAAAAATCCCTCCACAACTAGGATTTATAAAGGAACAGACAATTGGCCCCAGGAGCTGAAGCAATAAATGCAAAGATGAGTCTTGCATCTAAAACATCGGTCCTGATAATATTTTTTTTTTAAAAAGAAAACCCTAGTTTATCTCAGATTTGCAATTCAAGCTGAAGGAGCTTATGTACCAGAATCTCGTCTGGATGCGCACATCAGAAAACCTGGGTGTGGCATGTGGCACTAAAGGGGAAGATAGCGCCAGCGTGATTGTAACACGCTTGTTTTCCATTGATTAGGAAGCTGGAGGCAAGTGAAATTCTTATTAAGTTGTTGGATTTAAAAAAAAAAAAGCTTGCCACATCTGTTTATTTGTAAAAGAGAGTTTAAAATTTTAAGATGTGGGAGAAAGTGAGATTGCAAAAATCTCTGGGGTCTTTGGTCTACAAACTTAAGTTTTTCAAATTGAGAATGCAAAATTCTGGGGCTCGTTTCTGGTGCTCACAAAAAGTGTCAACTGTTTTCTGAGAGTTTTCTCAACTTTAACAATGGCAGCAGAATCCCTTTAGCACGTCAGGCCTGGAGTTAATAGACCATCTGCACCTTAAGACAGAGTTGCAAAAGGTATAAGGGGAGGGGGTGAAGGTGGATGGTAATTCCTGCATGCCCCACAACACCTGACCCTCCCCTTTTTTTGCAATTTTTGGAGTTGACAAATATGAAAAGCAAAATTGGTGCTAAGCATGTTTATGACAGGTATTAAACCTCTGAAGATGCAAGAACTCCAGTCCCCAAACTAGTAAGTACATGCAATTATTGAATGTGGTTGGTGTGGGTTCATGGGAGCCTCGTTGGTTCATTTTTAGTATCTACCCATCTTTCCTACAAATGGGAAGAATTTGAGGTTAAAATAGATAACAATGGCAAGAAAAAGTAAAAACCAGAGATTCACCGATTCCTCAGCTGAGTAGTTAACCAACATCCTGCTTCTTGACTGCAGGACTAATACGCCAGAAATAATATCGATAGATTCATCACACACTCATTACGTAAGACTATTAAAAAGGAATGTCCAAATACTAACCTATGACCTGACAATTTGTGGATCTCAGAAACTCTACAAACCAAATGGATCTTGCATGCCACTGTGCAGTTTAATGGGATGGCGGCACAATCCCACGTTTTCCTCTTGTTGTTGTCGCCCCAAATCTTGTGAGACCAAAATGTACGGAGACGCTGTAGGTATCTTGCTCATGAGATCTCTCTCCGAGAATTTATTTTATTGTCTTGTTAATCAAATTTACATTGCGGCCCGTCTCCCCCAAGGGGGACTCTAGACAGCACATGATAATAAATAAATCAGCCAATATAAATTCAATAAAAATAATAATAGTAGTAATAATAATAATGATGATGATGATGTTGGAAGGGACCTTGGAGGTCATCTAGTCCAACCCCCTGCTCAGGAAGGAAACCCTATACCATTTCAGACAAATGACTGTCAAGTCGCTTCTTTAAAACTTCCAGTGTTGGAGCATTCACCGCTTCTGGAGGCAGGTAGTTCCATTGGTTAATTGTTCTAACTGTCAGGAAGTTTCTCCTTAGTTCTAGGTTGCTTCTCTCCTTGATTAGTTTCCATCTGTTGCTTCTTGTCCTGCCTTCAGGCGCTTTGGAGAATAGCTTGACTGCCTCTTCTTTGGGGCAGCCCCTGAGACATTGAAACCTTGCTATCATGTCCCCCCTCGTCCTTCTCTTCATTAAACTAGACATCCCCAATTCCAGCAAACGTTCCTTATATGTTTTAGCCTCCAGTCCCCTGATCAT